CCATCTGTTTAGAAATAACTGAACTTCCAAGTATTTTCTCTCTCTATCTATTGAGAGATAACTGAGTTTCCAAGTATTTTTCTCCATCTATTGAGATATAACTAAACTTCCAAGTATTTTTCCTTATTATTTGTTTCTCCATCTATTGAGAGATAACTGAACTTCCAAGTATTTTTCCTTATTATTTGTTTCTCCATCTATTGAGATATAACTGAACTTCCAAGTATTTTTCCTTATTATTTGTTTCTCCATCTATTGAGAGATAACTGAACTTCCAAGTATTTTTCCCTTATTATCTGTTTCTCCATCTATTGAAAGATAACTGAGCTTCTAAGTATTTTTCTCCGTCTATTGAGAGATAACTGAACATCTAATTATTTTTCTACATCTATTGAGAGAAAACTGAACTTCCAAGTATTTTTCCTTATTATTTGTTTCTCCATCTATTGAGATATAACTGAACTTCCAAGTATTTTTCCTTATTATTTGTTTCTCCATCTATTGAGAGATAGCTGAACTTCCAAGTATTTTTTCTTTATTTTTTCTCCAGCTATTGAGACAGGGGTAACCAAACTATGGCCCGTGGGCCATATCCGGCCTGCGAGGTCAGTTCATCCAGCCCACCACTGCACTGTGCTACAAATGAGCTAAAACGACTTTATTAAATTAACGAAGATTTTAATTAAATTAGTATAAAATTCTTAATACTATATTTGCCTATCAAGATTCTTAATATTTTTATTAAATATGATCTTAATTATTTTTTATAAAGCTCTTCTAATTAACTTACATAATAAATTTTAAATACATTGGCAAATTATAAAAATTGCTTAATCAAATAACTTATCGGGAAAAAACTTTTAAACGAATTGCGTAATAACGGGGCCCGGCATGGCCAGGTGGTTAAGGCGCTCGACTCGCAATCTCAGGGTCGCGGGTTCGAATCCCCGTCACACCAAACATGCTCGCCCTTTCAGCCGTGGGGGCGTTATAATGTGACGGTCAATCCCACTATTCGTTGGTAAAAGAGTAGCCCAAGAGTTGGCGGTGGGTGGTGATGACTAGCTGCCTTCCCTCTAGTCTTACACTGCTAAATTAGGAACGGCTAGCGCAGATAACCCTCGTGTAGCTTTGCGCGAAATTCAAGACAAACAAACAAGAATAAAAAACACAAAAACCGTCGTTTTGTGTTTGGCACAATGAAAGGTAAAATCTTTATTATTAATTAATCCGACTAGTTTTGGTAACAATGTTACCATCATCAGGGCTAGAATTCACATGATGATGTTATCCTGATGATGGTAACTGTGTTACCAAAGTTAAACAGCTGTAACCTTTCATTGTGCCCCAAAAAACCCGCCAGTTTTTGTGTTTTTTTTAACTATTAATATAGTAACACAATGTGTCTGAAAAGAAGTTATTATATGCTCACAATTGGCTTTCTGAAAATTAGGAAATAAAACTTCGTATCGTTTCGCCCCCCCCCCCCAGTGGCACAGCGATATGTCTACGAACTTACAACACTAGAAACCGGGTTTCGATATCCGTGGTGGGCAGAGCACAGATAGCCCATTGTGTAGCTTTGTGCTTAATTCCAAACAAACACAAACAAACGTATTGTTTTGTTTTCCTCAACAGGTAGCAAAACATCACACCTAATTCATACACTCATATACTTCACCAAAATGGTAAACATCAAAGGTTTGTAGACCATTTATTTTTATGCGACAGTTACAGGTAAACGTTTCTAGACGCTAAATTTGATATTCAAAAGACGCTGTATAATTCCCTTAAAATTATTTGTTTTCATAAAGTTTTAACAGATATATGTGAAATTTGGCAACGTGACTTTTGAGTGTCTTTAGCTCCTTCAAAAACAATTAATAAAAGCTATTATTATTTAAGCCTTAAGTTTTTCTAGAACGTCTATTGTTTAGAAACCAACCACCAGGGGAGAGGCGGCTTTGTAAGTGAACAGACAATTTTATATGATTAGTAAATAAATTTAAAAAGTAAAAAAAAACAACATGATCATAGAATTGGATATGCCAGTTCCTATAGACACTTATATCGATAAATACATACTCTTAAAACTTTGTTTGATAACAGTTTTTGCGTAATATATCAAGCACAAAGTTACACAGTGGGCTCTCGGAGCTGCGCCCAACATGGGTATCGAAACCAGATTTTTAGCGTAAGAAGCCCTCGGACTTACCACTAAGCCACTGGTGGACCACGTTTACGGTTCACAACAAAATGAAAACGTCTTATTTGTTTATGTATGTAGAGAAACCTTTATGTTAAATAAGATAAGTCGTTTCCAGCACGAACAGTTTCAGAAACGGACCTCACTTTGCGGTCAAAATAATCCCCACTCTTATAACGATGGTTTGTTTCTTTTTAAACACAAAACTACACAATGGACTATCACTGATGTATCGGAACCTGCTATGTGTAGGAATGAAGTTTGGCAAAACGGAATACATTGCTGAATCAACTAGGTGGCGCCAGTTTGGAATTATATGGATAAAGGCTCACCTCCAATAGTATTCAAGAAATGAACTAATCGTAAAAATAACGTTTCATAATTTTTTCATAGTGTTGCCTGTTCACCGATCTTGTCCCCCGGTGGGACAACGGTAAGCTTATGTATGGACTTACAACGGTAAAGATCGGTGCTCGATTTTCCGCGGTGAACACAGCAGATAGTCTGATGCGGCTTTTCTCTAAAGCCAGCAAACAAATAAAATCTCTCACACACAGTTGTTTGGTTATTGTTAAGCACTAAGCTATCTGTGCTCCGCCCACCACAAGTATCGAATCCCACTTTTTAGCGATATAAGCCTTCAGACTTACCACTGACCATAGAGTATATTATTGTATTCGACAATTTACTGTCTATAAATGAATTTGTATTTAATTATTCTCTTAAAAACTAGCCACAAACCATTATCGGTCATCCTAGTGTAAATACAAAAGTCACTATTGAAACCTCGCAACTGTCACTGTGAAAATGTTAACCCTGATTCAACAATATATTCAGCGGAGAAAGTAAAGGTAGTAAAGCAAAATGTATTAATGTTGTAAAACCTTCTTCTGCTCGGGAAGCACCGATATCATTTTGAGCTAAAAATTGAATAATATACTTTAAAAGTTACTTTAAGATACATTTTTGAAAAATATTTATTTATTTGGATTCGACTGAATCGGTAAGAACTAGTGCTATAGAAAAGTTTCACTCAAAGGTTTCGTTTCGGTGCCACGTGATACACGTGCTCACAAAGGTCCC